GCTTTTTAATAGCCTTCTAACTTAGCAAGCCATGGTAATTTAAAAGGGAACGGATGAACTGCTAGAAGCAAGGAGATTTCTGCTGAAGAATACAAATGCATTCTCTGCTATTGCTTCTGCCTCTTGCTGGAGAGAGGCAAAATGCATACAGGCATATGATGGAACTTTCCAGTTGGTAGTTTTACATTATCAGGAAGGAAAGTGTTTGTGAAAATGAAAATTACTGATAATTAGTTGTGAATGCCTGTAAGGGAGAAAAATGGAGAAACATTGAAGAATTTTTATTTATATCAAGGGCTGAACCTCGTGGGTGGCCATTTGAATTGGTGTAATCTTTTGGAGGGGATTTTAGCAAGGTGCAGACGCTTTGATTCAGCAATTCCACTTCTAGGAATCTACTTTATAGCAATATTTGTACATGTACACAAAGGTCTATGTATGAGGAATATTCACTGTAGCATTGTTTGCATGTATGAAAAAAGAAAATAACCTCTGTAACCATTTTGAAAATATTTAAACAAATAATGGCATATCCATATTTTAGAAAAATTTGCTGCTAATGGATGGAATGAGATAAATCTATATATTTGACACAGAAACATGTTTCTGATATGTTAAGTGAAAAGGGCACACTGCTAAACAGTATCTAGTATTTTAAATTTTTTAAAATTTAAAAACTTTTTAAAAACATTTTCAAATGTTTTTAATGTTAACAGATATGTAACAAATATCTGGAGGAATAGATACCAAAGATTATCAGTGGCTATCTCTGGGAGATGGTATAATAATTTTGTAACGTTTACACTTTTATGAGCATAGATTACTTTGCAAAGAAAAGGGAAAAAAACAAAACAAAGTTATTTCCTCAAGGGAAGAACAAAAGAAACATGGCTGGCAGAGATCTATTCACTGTATTTATGTGAAAGGTTTTAGTGTAATTCTGCAGTTCTGTAATTTCAGATTCCAGTAATCGGGGCAAGGTGCTATTTGGTCGGAATGAACCCAAATGACTGCTCACACAGGGAGAATGAGACACAGTCCCTATTCTGGTCTCTAGCTTGTCCCTTTGGCTAGTGCTGCTGCTCGTCAAACTTGGCTGACAGAGTAGAAGTAGCTGCTTTTCCTTTTCCTTCTCTTGTCTCACGGGCCACCCATTTTAGAAGGCACTAAAACACAGTGGTAAAGAACCTGGCCTTTGGAGTTCCCGAGCCTCAGGCTCAGATCCCGATTTCACCATTCTCCTAAGTGTGTGACTTTGAGAAATTTGCTTCTCCTGTCAGGACCTCTGTTTCCTCACGTGAAAAATGAGGATTCTAGACATCCTGCCTACTAGGGTCTTTCAAATGATGAAAACAGAATAGAAAATGCATGGAAATTTATCTTGATGAGCCCTGAGTAATACATGGAACTGTTGAATCACTATGATGTACATCTGAAACGAATATAACACTGTGTGTTAGCTACACTGGAATTAAAATTTTAAAAAAAGAAAGTGCTTGGGAATAATAAATATATAAACAAGTATCACCTGTTATTGTTATTGTCTTGCCCTATCAATTCTCTCTTGGTAGAATCTCTTCCATCTACCTTATGCCTGATAAACTCCTACCCATTCCTCAAGCCCTGGCTCAGATACCATCCTTGCAAAACCTCCTTTGGTCTCTCCCCACACACCCAGAGCTGATTAACACTCCTTTGTCAGCATCCTGGGTACCCCAGCTTCATTTGCGTGTGACGTTCTGGGTTTTCTTATCTGTCTCCTTTACAGACCCTGACCTCCTGCAAAGCATCAGCCCTGGTCTAGCCATCTCAAATCCTCAGCACTTACCTTAGTGCGGGGCTCAAAGTTTGAATTCCCATAACCTTTATTTCAACTTGAATTAATCCCCTCCCTGCCTCTATTACCCCTGGCCAGTCATCTTTCATTCCTGGTGAAACTATGGTAACAGCATCCTAACTGCTCTCCCTCCCAATCCAGGCTGACGTTCAGCTCTGAATTTTAGCTGCACTTTTGCCACAGGCTAATGTGATCTAAGCACACTGCTTTCTATCTCTAACAGTTAGCTTCCTTATCTGTAAAACGGAGACAATAACCTCCTCCCAGCCAGTAGTGGAGGGGACTCAAGGAAAACTGCATGTGAAGGGCATCAACATTACCCAGATTTGGCCATTGCTACTTCTGCTTTTTGCTTACTTATTTATTTACTTTGGTGAGGGAAGGAGAAAGGGGGCCAGAGGGAGAGAGAGAATCTGAAGCAGGCTCCATGCCCAGTACAGAACCAACAGGGATTTCCATCTCAAGCCCCTGAGATCATGACCTGAGCTGAAATCCAGAGTTGGCTACTTAACCAGGCGCCCCACTATTTCTGTTTTTTGAAAGGCAGTGTACACCAGGGAAGAAGAAAAGAGTATCTGAAAAGTCTCTGTCCTGGAAGTTAAAGTACATCCTGTGATTTTGAACAAGTTTCTCTAGTTATACCTAAACAGGTGAGCTCTCTCGTGGGGCCTGTTTCCTCCAGAAATTGCATTTGATATGCCCTGCTGCGAGGAGCGCGGCTCCTCAGGCAAAGAGGCAAAGACTCTTCTCTACCCTTAGAATTAAATATAAATATCAGAGAACATTGGTGCAGTCCTTTATCATTCATGGAACACTTTCATGTCCATCATTGGATTTGAAAAGGGCTTTTGTGGGGGGAAAAAAATCACAGTCAAATTTTAACAGTGATAATTTCTGGATGGTGGAATTTGGCATGATTTTAATTTTATGCGTGCTTTCCTAAACCTTCAAAATCTTCGATTTTGGAGCTGCTTGGAGACGATGGTTGTATTACATTGTGAATGCACTAAATGCCACTGAAGTGCACACAAAGTGCACAATTTTATGTTAGTTTTGTGAATTCCACCTTATAAAAAAAATTTCTGCCATACACATGCATGACTTTACAGCCATTTACTGAAATGTGTTTGAGTCGAGAACAAAAACGGATTCTTCCAATTTTAGTACCTGTGCTGCCAAAGCGAGCACCAAAAACGGATTCTTAAGCCTCAAAAGCAGTTCAATTAGCTGACACTCTCCGCACCCACATCTCCAAGTCACGGGTCGTGGCAGCCAGCCTGCAGAGCGCTCCTCCGACCGCGAGGGGTCTCCGCAAAGCCCTCGCGTCCCCACCCGCGGAGGAGCGTCTTCTCTTGCGCCTTTGAAGCGCGTGTGCATGCGAGAGGCGTGGTGAAGATTGGCCTCTCGGCCCGCAAGACTGCCCCCTGCTCCGGCGTGGACCCGCGCCGCTCCTCAGGCTTCGGCGGGGTGTGGCTTTTGGCCTGAGTTCTCGCCGGTCCCTTCATTTCCCACCCGCGGCTGCAGCCTTTTGCTGTCCGGGCCGTCCCCCAACTTCCATCTCCCCACCCTGAACCAGCTGCCCCAGTATCGGTTCCCCGGCCCGCTGTCCTCTGCCCTTCCTGCTCCGCGAAGTGTCTGTGTCTCTGATCCTCGGCCCCATGGCGCTGCAGGCGCTGCAGAGCTCGGGGGTGGCCTTCCGCAAGATCCTGTCTCACTTCCCCGAGGAGCTGAGCCTGGCTTTCGCCTACGGCTCCGGGGTGTACCGCCAGGTGGGGCCCAGTTCAGACCAGAAGGTGAGCTGGCCCCGGGGCAGGCACCAGGCCGGGAATCGGCCTGTTCTCACGAGGTCCTTTTTGCCCTGGATCCCTCCAGAGCCCTAGAGCTTCCCTTCTACTCTGCGCACTTCACGTATCCACTAGCAAAATACGAACCGTAGGAAAGTGTACCTGGTATGACATCATAAGCTGAGTTTTGAAGGCTAAGTAGGAGCTCACTTCGGTCTAGAACAGGAGATGCAGTTATGCGGAGGGCAAAGCTGATGGAGAGGCAAGATGGAAGACAGGAAATAATTTGCCTGTTCAGTGTCCTTAGCCTTGGCTGAACACTGGGGTTTTCTGAGAATTTTAAAATGCTGATGCCTGGGTGCCACTTGTGGAGATTCTGATTTATTTGGACTGGGATAAGACCTTCGGGAATTAAAAAAAAAAAAAAAAAAAAACTTACCTGGTGAGTCTAATGAGCAGCCAAATATGAGTCTCATCTATAGCTGTGGGAGAAAGTACGAAATGATGGCAGGTGGTTGTAGGGCCAGGGCAGATGCAGTGAAGTTACCAGCAAAAGTTAGTGGATGACCAGTATATTTACGCACGCTCAGGACTTAACAAGAGTCTGTTTAGGACTAGGAGTTGTTACTCTTCAAAGTTGCCTGAGTGCAATAGCAGTGAGGGTACAGTTTTCCTTATGATTGCAGACTTTCTCCTGTCAATAGGGGGGGGAAAGTTTGCTTCCAAGGTGGAAGCAAAATTCAAGACATACAGAAGTGGAGTAGCAAGCAAGTATTTTCATTTGAATGAGGCTGTTACTGACTTTCTCCACTCAGGCTTTAAAGCTTTTGCTAAATCAACATAAAAAGAGCAAGAATCTAAATAGAGATGTTTTCTGATGAACTGCATTTTTATTTGCTGTGGTTAATGCCCCGCCTAACAATTCATTGTCACACAAACTAAGGAAATGATTGCGATGGGGCCTCCTTGATTTGGACACCTGGCTGTAATCTGTTTTTAGGTTAAAGTTTGACTGTTCACTTACTGGTAAGGCCATCTATACAGTTGCTTGAATTTCTGTTTTCCCAACTATACAGTATTTAAGTAATGCTTTGCTTTAAATTGACAACATATGAAAATTTATAGATTGTAGGTATATAAGAAATTATAAATTATTGTAGGCTAGTTGTTTTTTCTAACATACATTAACATAATTACACATTTTTTTTTAAAGATTTTATTTATTTGACAGACAAAGATGACAAGCAGGCAGCGAGGCAGGCAGAGAGAGGAGGAAGCAGGCTCCCTGCAGAGCAGAGAGCCCCAATGCGGGGCTCAATCCCAGGACCCTGGAATCATGACCTGAGCCGGAGGCAGAGGCTTTAACCCACTGAGCCACCCAGGTGCCCCTGATTACACATTTTTTTAAAAAACATGTCCACCCCAAATCTTAAGTTTCACCAGTGGTTTGTGGTTTTTGAGACACTTAGAGCAGGCCTTAGCCTCCTGATTCAATAGCCACTTCATTTTTCAATGGAGATTTTCCTTTGATTAGGCCTGGAATTTCCTCCAAGAAAAGGCCCTTTCTTCCCTTTCCTTCACCCTCATTCCCTACAAGATAACAAGCCTTATAGATTGCAACACAAAGTCTCTCTCCCATCAGTCCCTACCCTCAGTGCCTTACTTTATGTCTTCACTTCTCACCCAGAGTTTTGCAGTTAGCCCCCTGTGTTGTTTCCCACCTTTAGTCATCCTTCCCTTCAGTGAGCTCTTCTGCAGAAAGATTTTTATAGCATGGCAACCCAGCCCCCCTCTGGTCTCCCTTGCTTGTGTTCTTTTCCAGCATATCAAAGTAAATGCAACGTCCAGAACATGCCTAGTTCTCACATGCATAAGAGTGCTTTCCTTTAACAAGACTCCCTTCCCTTCCCCATTCTTATACTTCCACCAAGCCTGCTTAACTCTTGTACGTTCTTCAAGACTCAGATCAGAGTCTTGAAGAATGTAATTTCATAGCAAAGTTTCTCATTTCTGTTCTGACCCCATTTTGAGTAAAATTAGTGCATTTTGCATTCCTCTATCAAGTTCATTTAGTGATAATTTGTCTATTCTCCCCAGTAGACTCTCTTTACCTCTACCCCAGGATCTATCAGAGCTCCTTGTAGGTGCTCAGTGAGTGGTTGGTGAATGGGTAAGAGTTAAAATAACTTATTTTCCATTGCATAATGCTTTTCAAAGCTTATCCATCCTGTGTTATTTGATCTGGAAGAAAAGTGGAACACATGTAGCTACATTTAGATGAAAGGCCATGTGTGGCATAAGCTTCAGCACTCAGAATTTGGAACCAGACTGTGTCTGCCACTCGTTAGCTTTGTGTCCATAGGCCTGGAACTTAACTCTGTGCCTTGGTCTCCTTTCCTATAAAATTGGTATAGTATCAGTACCTACCTTGTAGGATTGTTTTGAGGATAGACTGAACTATGATATAAAGTATTTGGAAGAGTGCTGGCAGGACCAGACATGTGGAGCAAGCATTGCCCTCACTATGCATGTTGATGAAAGCAAGCTCAGACTGGTTCCAGAGACTTGCTTAGATTTCTGATGACAGCCTCCGGTCTTTTATTTATTAATCATAATGGCATAGAATTTTAGAGCTTTCCACTCTATCTAGGTGCCTTTCGAGGAATTAAAACTAAAATCTCTTTTCTTCATTCCCAGAATGCCATGCTAGACTTTGTTTTCACAGTAGATGACCCTGTCACATGGCATTCAAAGAACCTGAAAAAAAATTGGAACCATTACTCTTTCCTAAAAGTTTTGGGACCCAAGATTATCACCACTATCCAGAATAACTATGGCGCTGGAGTCTACTATAATCCATTGATCATGTGTGATGGTAGGGTAAGTGACTTTGGACATTTGTCTTAACTTGGGTGGTTATTAAATTAAATATTACAATACCAGCTAAATATGTATGTTCTTACAGTCAGGAAGTGTTCACATTCCTGCTGGATAAAGGTGGTTGAGAGAGACTGTTAATTACTGCCTTTGGCCAGTGCTTCTCAAATTTGAGTGAGCATCAGATCTCCTAGAGGGCCTCTTGGGCACACAGATCGCTAGGCTTCCCGCCAGAGTTTCTGATTCCGTAGATCTGGGGTGATGTTTGAGGAATTTTTTTCTAAGTAAGATATAATTGTAGAACATTGCATTAATTTTGGGTATACAATGTAATGATTTGATATATGTCTGTATTGCAAGATGATTACTACCACAATAAGTTTAGTTAACATTCATCACCACACACAGGTTTTTGTTTTGTTTTGTTTTGTTTTTTTCTGATAAGGAGAACTTTCAAGACTTACTCCCTTAGTAACAAGGGTTTACATTTCTGACAGCTTCCAAATGATGCCGCTACTGCTGCTGGTCTGGAAAACACACTTTGAGAACCACTGCTTTGGTTAGTGGGACAAATACTCAGGCCCACTCAGGATGAGGGTATCACAGGTAGTCAAGAGCATGTGATGCTGTGCAATAGGAACCTTTTGGTGACAGCAAGTGGGTAGAATTTGAGGAGGCACCCATGTCCTTGTTGGAGAGTAGCTAAACAGCACAGATCACAGCAGAGGATTGTCCGATGGCAGGAATCCTGCCAAACTTTCACATGAAGGGGCCCTATCTCTAAGAAAGCTGCCAAGAACTAGGCAGGACTGCAGCCTAAGAGGACCAAGGGGGGACTAAGTCATATACCCCCTACAGATAAGCAGGGCTACTGGTGACATACAGGTTCCATCAGCTCTGCTAGTTCTGCTCTGTGCTGCTGATGGCTTCGAGCAATCTTACTTTGATGTGCTGATGAATCACGTGAGGATCTCTTTGAAATGCAGATAGTGATTAAGGTGGTCTGGAATGGTGCTTGCGATTTTGGGTATTTTGACAAGCTCCCAGGTGATGCAGATACTACCTATCTATGGACCAGGCTTTGAAGGGCAGGAGGTTGGAGTACTGACTTAAGGATTTTGAAGACCTGTCTGAACTTGGCAGAAATGAGTACTATGATTGATTGGTGATGTCTGTATAGCCTTTAGGCCCTCTGTTTACTTTTCTGATTGGGGTCTAATCCTGCTCCAACCTGAATTTTGCAGTTGAGGAAATGAGGGTTCAGAGAGTGGACATGACTTCTATAAGGTCATGCAACTCGTTATAATGTGAGAGGCCCCTGACTTCCAGGTCAACGGTGTTTCCATTACTACCCCGTTGTTCTGTGCCTGCATTAAGAAGGGCTTTCTGCTATATTGTGGCCAGACTAGAGGGAAGATAGTGGCTCAGTGCAGTGTTCCACATCTACTTTAGTCATGCCAAACATGTAACTTTGTTCTTTCTCCATAATTAGTATTATGCTGAGCCTATCTCTAATTAGTGGTTTCAACAATATTATAAGCTCCAGTAGCCAAATGTTGGGGCATAATTACATGCCAAAGGGACTGTACTTTTTAATTAAAATTCTTAAGCTACTTTTTAGATATTTGTAGCCTGAGAAGGCTGTTTGAATACTGAAGTTTAGCAAAGTGATTCTGAAGTTATTTGTTGAAGCAAATGGGATTTTGTAACCTGGAACAACTACATTCAGGGTTTGTACACATTGCTTTTGAAATGAGCTTGGCCATAATTCCATGTGTTTAGCTCTGATAAAGAGGTTTAATTTTTAGATGTGGCTTTGTAATTATATGTGTTTGAAATACTTAATAGTAAAAGAGAAATTCACCATGTAAAGGATGTTGGTGAAAACTTCTATGTAAAGAAAATTTCTTGTACTCTGTGATGAACATTGGAAGCCCAGACTGACACTCGGGAACCTAGTTTTTACTCAGCTATTAATGGTGCCTCCTTGGGCACACCATTTATTAGGTCTCTTATTTCTGAAATAAGAAACATGAACTATATCTTTGCTTCTCACACTGTCTGTGGTGCAAACCCAATTTTTATTTCCAATTCGGTGAGGACCAGTATGTGCTAGATAGCCGTAGAGAGCCATTGTGCCTTTATCATCACAAGAGCCTGAAGTGATTGCTTCACCTCACATCCCTGAGGGGACAGATGAGTCTTGGAAACTAATCCTTTTTGAAAGATTCTGGTGGAGATGTGTGTTTTCACAAGGCAGAGATTTTAAGTGGTTTTGGAAATCAGAGTGCTACTCTGGTCAGAATTTTTTTTCTTATATTTTGCATTTGCAAAAGCAACAGTGTGGTATTTTACTCTCTTTCATGCCCATATCTTTTCTTTTCTAGCTTATCAAATATGGGGTCATTAGCACTAACAGTTTGATTGAAGATCTTCTCAACTGGAATAACTTGTATGTTGCTGGACGACTCCAAAAACCGGTGAGCAAGTCTTATTGGCTGCCACAGTCAGGGATGTCTCTCCTCTCTGAACCTGACCTTGCTTTGATCTATGTGATTACAATGAGATGGAACTCCAAAACAGAAATGAATTTCAGACTCCTTTTAGCCATATAGAATTTAGTGCCAAACAATAGCCAGATATTATCCACACTACTCGTGCCTTCTCTCTAAAGATACCCCAGTTGTCTGAATGAGGCTCAGAATCCGTCCATTTGGGCTCAGAAGGATGGCAGGAGAGGTGCCCAGTGCCTCAGTGGAACCTCTGTCAGCATGACCCAAATCACCATTCCAAAATGTAAGTGCCACAGGGCACTGTTTGTCCACTGATGTATCCCAGCAGTGCCTAGGACAGTGCCTGGGACATAGTAAGCATCCAGCAAACATTTTTTGAGTAAATGAATGAGTCAGGTAGTATTTCAGAAGGGAGTAGATTCTGATCCCCTTTCTTACCCTCCTCAGGCCCGTGGTGAGATCCTGTTTTAAAGTCCTTCCTTCATTTGGGTTGCCACCAGAGGAGGCTGTGGGGGGTAAGATTCCCCGGGTTTTAATAGAAACAAAACAGGAAAACAGTGGAAAGGATTTGAACTTTTTTTTTTTTTTTTAAGATTTATTTATTTGAGAGAGAGCTTACACATAGTGGGAGGAGCAGAGGGAGAGAGAGAATCTCAAGCAGACTCCCTTCTGAGCGCAGAGTCGGACTCCAGACTCTATCAAACAACTAACTGTGAGATCATGACCCAAGGTGAAATCAAGAGGATGGCCCAACCGACTGAGCCACCCAGTCTTCCCAAAGGACTTGAACTTTTGACATTGTATTCTTTTTGCAGATATATAGCCTATTTTCTATGAAGGAGTGTTTTCATAGTTTAAGAACTATGCAGAATAGTAATAGTTGCTAATCTCACAGCAAGGAACAATTTTCTTTGTGCTGTTAGAGGGTCTCAGGCCCCAAAACAAGGTTTGTTCTCAAATGTCTCCCATAAGAGTGATTCTGCTGCTCCTCTTTTTATCAGTTATAGCAAAAAATTAGAGATTTATACAACCTTAGCTCACTTGGTTGTGTCATAAAAATCTCTATTGAGTGGCATGTGGGTGGCTCAGTCGGTTAAGCATCCAATTCTTAATTTCAGCTCAGGTCATTATCTCAGGGTCATGAGTTTGAGCCCTGCTTTGGTCTCTGTGCTGGGTGTGGAGCCTGCTTAAGATTCCCTGACCCTGGAGCGCATGGGTTGGTTCGCTGTCTGTCTGCATTTGGCTTGGGTCATGATCCTGGGGTCCTGGGATTGAGCCCAGCATTGGGCTCCCCACTCAGCGGGAAGCCTGTTTCTCCTTCTCCCATTCCCCCTGCTGTGTTCCTTCTCTCCGTGTCTCTCTGTCAAATAAATAAATAAAATCTTTAAAAAAAAAAAAAAAGTGGGGCGCCTGGGTGGCTCAGTGGGTTAAAGCCTCTGCCTTCGGCTCAGGTCATGATCCCACGGTCCTGGGATCAAGCCCTGCATCAGGCTCCCTGCTCAGCGGGGAACCTGCTTCCTCCTCTCTCTCTGCCTGTCTCTCTCCCTACTTGTGACCTCTGTCTGTCAAATAAATGAATAAAATCTTTAAAAAAAAAATTCTCCTTCCTCTCCTCTGCCCCTCCCCCCACCCAAATCTCCATTGATATACATGGGTGGACACAATTCTCTTACCTTGCTTCTGAACTTAGAATTTAATGGAATAGCTCATTAAAAGATCCAGAAACACTTGATCAGGACAATAGGTATATAGGTATGTCCATATATAAAAATTTGTCAGGCTGTACCCTTTAGATTGGTGCATTTCACTGTGTAATTTTTATTTTAGTAAAAACATTTTTTTTAAGATTTATTTGAGAGAGAAAAAGTGTGTGTGCATGTGCGCACAAGCGAGAAGAGAGGCAGAGGGAAAGAGAATTCTGGAGCAGACTTCCTGTGGAGTGCAGAGCTTGACTTGAGAGGCTTTATCCTAGGACCCTGAGATCATGACCTGAGCCAAAATCAAGAGTTTGGCCACCCAATTGACTGAGCCACTCAGGTACCCCAGTAAAACATTTTTCTTAAACTTCAGAAACAATAGGCTTACTGAATTAATTTCATATACATAGATGAATTTCTCATTTCTAAGCTGGATAATTAGTAAAGATAATCCAGTAAAGCTGGATAATTAGTAAAATAATTTAATGAATAAATATAATTGAAAATTTGTAGATATTTTCTTCCCAAATTTTTTTTCTTTTTTCTTTTTTTAGTTTATAAAACATGGGGGCACCTGGCTGGCTCAGTTGGTGGAGCATGCAACTGTTGATCTCAGGTTGTGAGTTCAAGCCCCATGATGTAATTAGAGATTACTTAAAAACATGAAAGAGATTTAAAAATAAAATAAATTTATAAAATATGTAGCCTAATGGAAAGACTAATGAAAACAGAATTAGAACCTTTAGGTCTTATTCATTCCTGCCACTTGTTAGCTGTTTATGTGAACTTGGGAAACTTGTTCCTATCTTTTTGAACCTCGGGTAATTTATCTGTAGGATGGAGTAACAATAAAGTACTTGCCTTCACAAAGGTGTTGAGAAGTGGAAGCAGAATGATAATGCTGGAAAGAACACGGGTGTTTTAGAATGAGATCTAGGGTTTGGGTCCCAGCTATGACAAACCCCAGCTATGTGACCCTGTACCAGTGACTAAATTTCCCTGAGCCTTGGGATATCCTCCTCTGTGGATTAGTTTGACAACATCAACCTTAAAAGGCATTTGAGAAATGCCTCGATCTAAAATGGCTGGCACTTAATAGATACTTAGGAAATGATCGTTCCTTTCTCTTTGTCCTTGCCTATCTCAGAGTTATTTTGAGATAAAATGAGATATTGAATGTGAAAATGTTCTACTGTTCTTTGTACTATGCTTTGTACTTGGAATATTTCAATTTTTTTTTAAGATAAGTTTTAGAAAATGAAATGCCATAAAGTCTCAGAATTTAGCACTGGAAATGACCTCAGATTTTATCTAAATGTCACATATCCTGATAAAATAAAAACAGCAACTCAAGACAAGTAGTAGTTGCTATACTCATCTTGATCAAAACTGCATTTCTCAGCTAACTTGAAAAAGAAAATGTTATTGAGGACAATGACTGCCTTTCAGGCTTAATATTAAACTAATAACTGAAGAAAATTAGGCTATATTAAGACTCATTTGAAAGTGTTGAACATAGAACATGGTAAAAAATAAAATAAAAAATTGTGAATGGGGACGCCTGGGTGGCTCAGTTGGTTAAGCAGCTGCCTTCGGCTCAGGTCACGATCCCAGCGTGCTGGGATCGGTCCCATATCGGGCTCCTCCTCGCTCGGCAGGGAGCATGCTTCTCTCTCTGTCTTTGCCTGCCACTCTTTCTGCCTGTGCTTGCGCTCTCTCTCTCTCTCTCTCTCTGACAAATAAATAAATAAAATCTCTTAAAAAAAAAAATTGTGAATGGGTGAATTAACTCTTTCACCCATTAGCATTTTCCTTCCCTGTCCATGGAAATCACTGCTAACCAGAGAGAATGGTCAGTGGTAACGATCTTTAAACCAATGATTTTTTTACCGCTAGGTGGCAGCAAATAGTAATCAAACGTGAACAAATCTCATGAATAGAAAGGGTTGGTGGTAGCCTTGTGGACCCCCCCACCCAGAAAAATAAGTGAAGGTCTTAGAATTGTGAAATGAGTACAAATTCTGTTTTTATGTGTTTTAAGAGAAGGAGGTGTTTTAAATTATATTGTCTAAACCTTTAAAATTATCTTCCATATTGCAAATAGAACAAAATTTCTCAATTCAGGTCTTTAAAAGGAATACACAGAGGGTGTATGGGAACTCTGTATTTTTTGGTCAGTTTTGCTATGACTCTAAAACTGTTTTAAAAAATAAAGTTTATTTGGGGCACCTGGGTGGCTCAGTGGGTTAAAGCTTCTGCCTTTGGCTCAGGTCATGATCCCGGGGTCCTGGGATGGAGCCCTGCATCAGGCTCTCTGCTCAGCGGGGAGCCTGCTTCCTCCCCTCTCTCTCTCTCTCTCTCTCTGCCAGCCTCTCTGCCTACTTGTGATCTCTGTCTGTCAAATAAATAAATAAATAATCTTTTTTAAAAATGAAGTTTATTGATAATATTTTAAAAATATAAAAGAATACCTTGCTTGAAAACATGGACATTTCGGGGAAAAAAATTCAGTATAAATTAAATTTCTATCATACTTTACCATTAACTTACCTCATAACTGAGGTTAGGTAAGTCACTTTTATTTCTAGTGTAGCTTTAAGTTTCTGAGTCACTTACCAAGTCATTTTTCAAGGAAAGAGCAATGAAATTTAAAGTATTTAATAGAATCTTGTGGTCAGTTCTTTTTTAAGTCAAAAGAACTCTCAAGAAATATTGATAGTCATTTCTTTAATTTATTTAACCTAAGTCTGGGTTTTTGTATTTCATGTTTTAGTGTATAGATAATTTGGTTTGAATTTTTAAAGCATTCTCATTGATATGTCATAGCATTTTGCTACCTAGTTGAGAGAATTTTATTTTTTAATTTTTTTTTTATAAACATATATTTTTATCCCCAGGGTTACAGGTCTGTGAATCGCCAGGTTTACACACTTCACAGCACTCACCATAGCACATACCCTCCCCAATGTCCATAACCCCACCTCCCTCTCCCAACCCCCCTCCCCCCATCAACCCTCAGTTTGTTTTGTGAAATTAAGAGTTACTTATGGTTTGTCTACCTCCCACTCCCATCTTGTGAGAATTTTAATTTAATGTATTCATTGCAGTATTTTTTCTCTTTTTTTTGCTAGTAATACAGATATTTTATAACATAAATTATTGAGATATAATTCACATACCATACAATTCAACCATTTAAAGTGTACAGCGGTTTTTAGTATATTCAGCGTTTCGCAGTTATTACCATATTGTAACTTCAGTGATTTACTTTTTGTGGCTAGAAAAATCCCAGTGGTATTAAAGATCCCTGAAAGAGAGTTGGAAAACCTGACTTACTGGTCTTGGCTCTGCCCAGCTGTGAGCAAATGTTTGTGCCCCTAGCCTTTGAAATGCAAAATTTGAGCCATTAATTTACTTATTCAAGAGACGACTAAGTTTCTCCTCTGTGGGTGCTAAAGGAATCAAAAAAATAACACCACATTGCTAGTCCTAGAAGAATCCATAGTCCAACAGATAGATGATAAGGTTTCATCCAGCTCGAATGTTCAGGGTTTCTTCTTGGTCCTCAGGCAGTGACCATTTAGAAAAATTATTGTTTCTGGCCATTTGGAATGGAAAACTTCTGTGGGAAGTGTCATTTGGTTACTAGTTGAGTGAACACTAGGTAGGGCCGTGTTCTTTGTGACTATGACTTTACTGATTGCAATTCAAGGACTGTCTCCCTGTGACTGTATTATAGAGGAAACCACCGCATGTGACTCTTTTCTATCTTGAAAGGTACTCACAAATCTCTCAAGTTGAGCTTTTGAAAGTCCCTTCAAGCTTTACTCCTTCCTCTCTCCAGTAACGATTTTCCCCTTGGCAGTAATGTTAATGCTATCTATGCAGTTCAGGTCGGGGCATTCCCAGTAAGACACAAACAGCTATTCACAAATCGGAGGACTTTCTTTTTTTCCCAGGCCTCTCTGGCAGTGTCCCAGGAGTTCACTGGCTTGACTCTGAACCACAGTAACAGTGCTGCTGAGACAAGTGCCTAGGTCGCCTTACACTGGAGAGCCAGATCAGCACAGTAGCAGAGTCTTCTGAATTGACATTTTTCCTTTGAGTAAGGATGCTTTTATTTTTATTCTCTTAACCTTACTTAGCAAACAGACTGGTTTTTTTCACTAAGTAGAGTGACTTTCTTGGAGAGCAAGTGTATTGCTTTGAATAGGAAAATTTCCCCAAACTTACCCTGATTTGTTAGCATCTCGGAACAACTTCTGTTTTCATTGAGTTTCTGTAAAAGCCACCGAAAAGAGAGAGGATGAAGAATTATTGAGCAGGACCTGGTGAATGAGGATGAAGAACAGGAATATGGGAATAAACAGGCTTCGCAGGGTTTTAGAAAGAGCTCTGGATAAATCAGGGACCTAGGTCCTCTTTTGGTGTGCCACTACTTCTCAAGGGAAGATCTTTTAACCCTCTGGGCCTCAGTTTCCCCATTAGTAAAATGAGGAGGTTGCCCTCCTAGACCTGATTCTTTATGGGATACAAAGTTTGGGAAAGTTATTCAAGGAGTGAACATAGGAGTTATATAGGAACTTAACATTTCTTTTAATCAACTTTCCAGATAAGAAGTTAACCAGAACAACAACAAAAGTTAACCAGAACAGATCCCTAACTGAATGCTTGAAAATAATTTAAAAAATTTAGAACTGGATCTGCCAATTATAAGGGTGTTACCCTGATTTTTGCCATCAACTCATTATGCAATGTTGGGCGAGTCATGCTACTGGACTGCACCTTCGTTTTCCTTTCTGCAGATGATTGCAATAATGCTAAACTCACCCAAGTGCTGAAAGGCTTAATTAAGGGCTATTAAGTGCTGTAATTACAAGGGAGGAGTTGGGAGTATTGAATAAGGTGTCATACCTTCCATAGAGAGGTTTGGTTATTATAAATATTCCCTTAGGAAAAAAGTAGGGACAAAAGGTAAAAGATAGAAGTTAGGTTCTTAAGTTAATAAAATTGTTGTTTTATAATACCGTTTTGACAATAAAAAGAAGAAATTACTTTGAGACATACATCATCTTTTCTCCTTGCAGTCTAATAAAATTTTAATTTCGTTTCTGATAGTGTCTTTTAATGCCATCTTAATTTTTCTCAGAAATCATCTTTATTTGACAGATGAAAGGCAACTTAAGCCCGTTTTCTAGAATTGGGGAAGATTTGGTGACAGCACTAAATGGTTTACAGAAGGTAGATACATTTCAGATAGGTGAGGGTCCTTATAGGAACTTGCAGACTCTTCCCTTGTTTATAGACAATCAGTTAGAAGCAGCCTGATGGTTTAGAAAGATTATACTAGGAGTGTAAATTGGCACAAGCACTCTGAAGAGCCATGTGGCATTTCTACTTCTAAATATATACCTGCGAGCAGTGGTTCTCAAAATGTGAAGGTTCCTTGACCATCTGAGAACTTGTCAGAAATGTACATTTTCAGGCCTGTCTCAGGCCTCCTGAATCAGAAATACTGGGGAATGGACCTAATAATATGCATTTTAATAAGCTCTCCCAAGTGATTGTTGGTGCTTGCTAAAGGTGAGAAGCTCTGGCCCAGGGAAATTCTTGTATTGTGCCCAAAGATAGAGAAGGAAGCTCACTTCAGCTGAGGGTGGTATGCAGTATCTCATTTAATCTAACCAACAACCTTATCAATTTGGTTCTGTTATTAACCCCATTTTACTGATAAGGAATTGTGGCCATAGTCACAGAGCTAGTAAGAGATGGAGCTAGGTCTTGAACACTTTCCTAACTACAGTGCCATCTTCAAAACAGAATTTCAGAGCAAACCAGAACAATTTGTATTTTAATGGATTTGAGGAAAGTCAAAGACAGCACCTTCCACTGTGTATTCAGGAGAAAAATCCTTTTTATTGATCAAGGCATTCACTAGTACATTAGGTACTTTACATTTATTATTTCATTCAATCTTTGCAACAATTCTTTGATGCACATTTATTGCCATTTTATAGATGAGGACTTAAGTTCAGAGAGGTTAAGTAATTGGTCAAATTCACGAGCTAGTAAATACCTAGACCTGAGCCCATACCTACCCCCAAACGCATGCTGTTTCTACTCTAGCTAATTTTCTTTCCTTTTTTCCTTAGTCAGGTTCAAAATCAGTTCAAAATAAAACATGAAGTTCTTAGATTATATATGGATAAGAATAGAGGTGAGTTCTAAATAAAGAAGTAAAATGCCTTTGTTTACCATAAAATTAAGTAAATAACAATGAAATTATAAAATTTAAAAATACAAAATTTCCCGAAGGATGTTTATTTCATTTATACTGACTTCTTTTTCAAAACCTGTGGAGAATTTCCTCATTTAAGAGAAATATTTAGTTTGCTTTCATTCAGGATATCTTTGATTCTGGCAAAGAACACAAACCTCTGGGATTTCTTATTAGAGTAATTATTTCATGTCTACTGGCCTAATATTTCAAGATCTTCAGCGCAAAGGGTTTGGGATAGTTTCAGTGCATGCGTGAACCCATAGCTTGAGCAGTAATCCACTTTGACATTTTTCTTCTAAATGTTCTGCTTTTTTGCAGGTTAAAATCATAGCAATGAATGAGAATGTTGCTCTTAGGTCAGCCCTTGATAAAAATCTGAAGAGTGCTGTGACCACAGCTTTCCTCATGCTCCCTGAAAGCTTTTCTGAAGAAGACCTCTTTATAGAGATTGCTGGACTCTCTTATTCAGGTTAGTAAACTTGGTGCTCATGTTTTTTGCAGGAAGGAGATGCATTGTTTGAAGACCATGCATACAGACATCCTGCTTCTCACTCCCTGCTGGAGCTGCAGGCCCACACCCCCACCCCCAATCCCACCACCTCCTATGGGGGGGAGGGGGACGGACTGCCAGAACCCCAGGATTTGCCTCCTTGCCTCCAAGGGCTCTTCCTCTCCACCTCTGTATGTAAATCACCCCAGGGTAGTCTTACAGTTGTTACTATTCATTTTCATTTGGAAACAATTCCAAACTGACAGTAAAGCTTCAGTAATAAACAAAGAACTCCCATGTGCCTTTGCCAATTTTAGTGTTTCCTCGCATTTGTGTTATCATCCTCTTTGTCCCAGTGGTTTTCTAACTCAGGTGTGCATCCGAATGCCCTAGAGGTACTGGGTGCACCCCCACACAGCTGCTTTGGCAGGTCTGGGGTGGAACTGAAGAATTTGTATTTCTAGCAAGTGGGTGAAGCTGATGGTCCTGCAGCGACCCCACTCAGAAAACCACTGCCCTCTCTGTACCTGTAAATACTATATCATGTATTTTTTTCTGAACTCTTAGAGAGTAGCTCACACATATCCTGTTCCCTTCAGGCCAAATAGTTCCAATATATGTTTCCCAAGAACAAGGACATTCTCTTCTATAACCATAGCACAGTTACCAAATTCAGGAGATTTCACACTGATACAGCACTTTTATCAGATTAATGATCCATAGTTCATATGTTGCAGTGATGTTCTTTCCCCCTCGAGTACACAGTCCAGTCAAGGATCGTATTTATTAAAATGCCCTCTCTCTTCTATCTTTTAATCAGGAACACGTCCTTAGCCTTCCTTTGTCTTACATGACATTCACATTTTGAAGTCTTAGACCAGTGATGTTTGTGCCCTGATAAGCAGAGTTTTTTCTCTTCTAAGCAATCCAAGAGGAGACATTTGAAGATCACGCAAATCTCCTGCTTCTTATCAAACTTTCCGTCCTAGATCGAGCATTTGTTGAAGATTCATGCTCCAACCAGTCTTTACTATGATGGTTACAAGTGGGGACTTTCCAACTCCACCACTCCTTAACCATTAAGAAAAAGCCTTCCCATCTTCCCCATTCATTGGTTTATTTATCTAAATCTTAACTTCCTTTACCTTTCTTCTTAGACAAGTGTGTTCCTCAGAGATGTCAGGGGCCCCTTCAAAAGGAGAAGGGAAAGCTGAGAGGATATAGCCCGGGGCCTCTCACCCTAGCTGCAACCAGAGGGGAGCTACCCTTCCTGTTTAATGTATTTAGGATCCATGTAAAATTTTATTTACAAACAAAGTAGTCCATTACTTTAAAAAGTTTGAAACCACTGTCTTAAATAAATCTTTTCTTTCCCAACTTTTAAGTGTGAGTCAAAGAACTCTATGCTGAAAACATTTCAAAAGCAGTTTACTCATTTTCTGAATCCCTGTACAGATAAGATTTTATGAAACTATAATGCTGAAAGAGACCGTGAAGGCCTTGTTCTCGAGTTTTTTCCCCAAAATGCAGCTAACGGAACTACAGCTGCAGTTGTAACACTGGAGAGAAGGGAAGTGACATGCCCTTAGTCTTGGTCACTTGGTCACCTCCACATGGCAGCATCCCTGCCTTTCAACAGGAAATGGAGGGGCAGAGGCTGCTGTGGCTGGGTACCGGAATAAATGGGCCTTTGTGCAACGTGTGGGAAAGGGGGTCACCCTGATAGAGTGATCACTCCCCTTGTTCCCTTGTGAAAAAAGATGGGCCCAAAACCTTTTATAAAGGGTTTAACTTCGTGGGAGAATGTTGCAGAGCCGATTTCTCCTTTGCCCACACCATTGCCATGCCTTCATTTCCTCCCCTGTGATCAACATCAGCGTAGTGTCAGGTGGATACCAGGAGTTCCTATAAATTCTGAACATTGACTCGAAGTGTCTTGAATGGCATAACTGCCTTTATGTATTAGCAAATTTCAAGTTAGCATGCAAGCTGCTATCAGCCTTCAGCTGATTCTGCTTTGCCTCCCTAAAGGGCCGTGTTTTATATTCCTGGTTTCTCCTATACTGTGAGACATATACAGAGTGTTCAGTGAGTTCTTGCTGCCTCATAACAGTATCATTGTCTGTTTTGCTTCTTTTATAATTTTTATGAAGGACAGGTGTGTAGCAGTGCTATACCAGACATAGTAGGTGGGGAGGGGGGTAAGTAGAAAGATTAAAATCAGTAGGTGGCGGGGGGATAGATAAATAGATAAATCGATCATTGATTCCATCATTGAATTCTCATACCACAACCCTGTTTGTTCAAATATTTCCTGTGTCCCTTCCATGTGCCACACACTGTGCTAGGCCCTGGGTATACACTGGTGAGCCTGACATGAGTAAGACTCCTCGTGGAGTTCGTGTTCCCTTAGGCAGAGGCAGATAGTAAAGAAGCAGAAAGGCCATTTTAGAGAGCACCAAGTTCAATAAAGAGAAGAAAAGTCCTGAGGAGGGTCACCTTTACCTTGGATAGGCAGGGAGGTCCCTCTAAAGTGGTGATGTCTAAGCCCAGATCTAGTAGTGGCAGGGAGCCCACCCTGAGCTGATGGGAGAAGGGCAGAAGGGGAGAGCTGCTTCCTAAGGGGCAGGTCCTAACCTTGGTGCGCCTGATTCTGGCTTTCTGGGCTTCTAGAGTCTCCCATTTCTCATCTTGTCTCCTCTTGCTCCCTTGCCATTATATTATTTATTGCTTAACCCAGATTTGGATCTGAGAATTTGGCCAAGGATCCCACATTACTCATTTCGCTGAGGTTGGCTTCTTTTTACTGCAAAACTTAGGACACAAAACTTGGCACATCCTCTCCAGAGGGAACTGATTCCAAACCTATGCAGTCCCCAGTTTATAAATGAGACATTTTCCAAAAAGCAGTCTATCGGCCAGTTGTTTAGAACTGGGAACATATTTTTCCACCAAGACAACAATATATGATACTCCTAAGCCAGGACACTGTATAATTTATGGTTACCTACTCCATAAAATAATGAAATTAGAGTAGAATAGTGAGGATGGGGAAGGATCTAGGCCCTACAGGTAGATACCTTTCATAGGTGTGAGACCTGCCCCAGGCCATGTGTTGAAAAGCAAGCTTTTCCTCCTTGATTTCTGAGAACCCAATATCCTTGAACTAATTGGATTCTATCCTTTCGGCAAATCTCCCAGGCCCCCAGAATATTCCAAACTACAAATTAACTCACCAGTTTCATTTTTATTTACAACTTTGACATTTATTTTCCATGTTGCTCCTAACCTGCATAGGTCAGCATTTCTCCCTGGAATGGGGTAAGGATAGGGAAACAGGAAACAGCATCTCTCCATGTTATTGGACAAGCTCCTGCCAGTAGTTACTAGCAGAGGCAAGATCTCTCTGTATTACTGGTAGTAATAATAACTCCTTACATTTTATATAGTATTTAAGGATCACTTTGACTAGCTTGGGGGGTCGGTATTGATGACATTATTGTTGTAAATGATGGTGAGAAAGGAGTAGGTGGAAGATGAGAGCCTGCAGAATTGGGGAGGAGAAAGCTTTCTAATCCTTCGGTTATTCTTAGAAGTCAGCATTTAAGTAAACAGAAAAGGAAAACCAAATGAGCTTTAAAGGGTCACCTTGACCTTTCTCATGTAACTACAAACTATTAAAATGACTAATTTTACATAATGATCCTAGTTTAACATTTATCAAATGAATCAGCGTCCCATACCTCATGAAGAATTAAAGCTATAATTTCTGCTCTAAAGAACCTCACATTAATAAACATGTAGTCATAGTGAGTCAGTGATAGACTTAAAAAACAACACATATAGAAAAGGCAGGGAGTGTGAAAGAACACGGCTTATTTAGGGAAGAAGGAATAGATTGATGTGACTGAAGTCCATGCCTCATAACAGGAGAAAATAGCACTTATTGTTATGTGCCAGGAACAACTCTCAATACTTCTGATCTAATAACTAGTTTAATCCTTGCAGTCTTCTTTCGATTTGCATGCTCATTTATTGCCCTGTTTTAAGATGAAAAAACGGAGGCCCAAATCTTTCTGGTAGGTTCGTGGGTGGTGGAGCTGGAATTGTAGCCCATGCTCTTCACCATTTAACTTCACTGCTTCTCAGGTATTTTGGAGAAGAGGTTAGGCCCCAGCCAGGCCAGACAAGGCATTGAATACAAAGTCAAATGAGACTGGAATTTGACATCCCGTACACACCTGGGAGCCACAGGAGGTTCCAGACATTGTGAGATGGCATGAGATTGGTTGCTGTAGAAAGATCATTTTGCCAGCACTGTGCAGGAGGGAGAGAGACTAAAAACAGGGAAAGGCCTTAATCATTGAGCAAATAAGGACAAGAGTCTCTTATGCCAAGCACTCTCTAACCTCTGTGGATGAAGGAAGTAAATCAGGCGGGCATCGTCCCTGACATTTTGGGGCTTTCATTCCAGTTGAAAAGTCAGACAGCAAACTCATGGCAGTGCTAGGATAGGGGAGGAAAGCCAATGTGGCTTATAACTAGGGAAGGCTTCGGTGGGAGGTGACATTTGAACTGAGCGCCAATGGATAAGGACCCACGAGGAGAGCCCACATGAGAGCTGTCTAGGCAGAGAGGGGTCTAGTTAGGACTGTGCCCATGTCCAACCAGCCTCACGTCCTCGGCCTCTGGAACAGTGCTGTGGCACAAAGTGGCACAGCACGCTGTCCATCTTTGTTGGCTATTGATAGGGTGAGTGGTGATGAGGCCTGAATTAGAGTAGCATCTCAGCAAAGTGCACAAATTCTTAGGAGAAGAATTGACATTCAACCCTTAACTTCTTAAATTAAGTATCTTATTTTGTACCTTGCTGCTTTTTTTTTTTTTTTTTTTTTTAAAAAACATTCTACTCATGGAAGGCAGAATTAGGGAAGTGTTTAAAAGCTGGGGCTCTAGAGTCAGAGGTCTGGGTTCAAAAC